CTTAGGACATGCCTCAGGCCAAACACGTCAATGCAAGTCGGAATGTGCACTTTTGCAGTTGTCTCGGTGTGAATGAGGTGCCCAATGTTTGCACGATTGGCGTCTTGACTAGGGCCTTACTGCAATGTGTATTTGTCTAATCACGCCTCGTCGATAGGCCGCCACACTGTAATGCAGCACAAGGTACATTGTTGCTGTCTTCGAAATCGCTGTCAATTAAAATCAATTCCCTGGAGGCATAAAGGGGACAGCATGAGGGGCGAAAGTACAAATCCGTCATGGAGAAAGTGTCTGCTGGAATATCAAATGGGCTAATGTGCATCGTTGATTTAGTGGGGAGAATTTACTTGCGTTAAAAGACTGTTTTGTGAAGATTTAATGAACTCTTGACTCTTCGTTATCGACGTGGATGTTGATTTAAACTGATGCAACACTGCACAACCGACACAATCGTTTGATAAATTCGTGCATGTTGTTGCTCCTAATAAGCCACCTTATATCGCAGCATGTGCGTATCTGAGTAGTTTGTCAGGAATTTGATAGCCAGTATATCTGTCTCAAATTGTCTGATGTGGGAACAAACGAGATAAGTGTTTCGTTTAGAGTTTGACCTCGAAATACCGAATTCTTTGTAAGCTGTCTTAAAGCAATGTTAAGCCTAAACAGCGGATGCAAATGGAGTGAAACTGTACGGGGATTGATTGGGAAATGGTATTGTCCATTGTGATCACAGCAATAAAGTTCCATCGAGACTTGCTGTGCAGTCTAAACCTTCTCCATTTTCTCAAACTCCGTATTGAATTCTAGTTTACGGAATTTAGTTGGAACCCTGAAAAATTAAAATACATCTCTGGAAGGTCTCATAAGAAAAGTATGAATCATTTCATTGTCTTTAACTATAACACATAATCTTGTGCTCTGCGATTATCTCTACGGTGGTGGGATTTGGTCGTTATTGGACATTTGGTCAATGCTTGGTTTGTGACTTTCCTCTGGGGTCGTTACACCTGAGTTCTGTGGATTATTCCTGATGGCGATGTCAGAATAGAGTAAAAGTGTTTTTTTTTTGTGTTTAAACGTTGGGCAAGTTTAAAGCCAGCCTCATTACACTTGGATATTTTGTTCATATTTACACTATAATATGCAAAAATCCACTTGATCTCATGTATAAAGTTTCACTTATCTTTATAGGTTGAAGTGTAAAAAATCATTCTTTTGCTGTACATTTGCTTTTGCATGACTTAGAGAGGGTTAAAATTTATTTTTAAACTATGACTGCGTGTGTTGGCTTGGGCTGTTTCCACGACTTGTTGAAGTTTTCTGTGAAATGTCCACCTTTCCCACAACAACTGACGCATGTTTTCGAGTGTTTTTTTTTACGTCAGTCATTCGTTTGACATTCGTTTTTTTACAATCAGCACTGTTCTCTTGAAAAATATATTGATCAGTATAGTAGTTGAATTCTTTAAGATGCCTTATTCATACCAATGTGATTAGAAATCGATTTAGAAGTACTATTATTTTCTGATACGTATTTTACAAAGTAACTTCCTCTAGGTAAAACCATGTCAAAGTCATCACTTAGTATAAACCCAGTATCGCCTCATTTACTTTAATTTGAGGATGACGTTATAGAATTCCCACAGCTATGATGAGATAAACTGTTGGTTTTATCACGCCTGTTTATTGCACCACGCCAACGGTGACCAGCAGATCAGACTTGTCCTCCCGTGACCCACTACGCCAGGTATAACGTGGGCCTGTGAACAGATGGACCGCGGTCATCAACGAAACAGCTGTCCAGGACATTTGCGTGACCGTTCAATCACAGCTACCTGACATTTGCGTGCACCTGACGTTCATGTTCAAACTCTTTTTCTTACCAATTTGTGCGTTTGGTATTGTTTTAAGAGGAACGCTGAATGTCCTTCTCAAGCATTTATCTGTCCCCTGATTTCGTCCTGGTATCTATTCTGGAACTTGAAGTTGCACTCCTATTAAACAGAGACAATGACGTTTCGATGACCGTATCGAAGCTATGTGCATTTAAACTGGTATCTAGAGTAGACTTATGTAAAACGTTTGTTATATGTGATTTCGAAAAACTTTTTGAAGTTGCTTCCGAAATTGGCAGTGGCATACAACCCCCGATTAGCAAGATACTCGATTCATGTTTCTATTACACCAAATATGATGATTTCTTAGATTTAGTGACTGCCCTAAATGGAATGAACTATTTTTCTGTGGTGGACTCCTCTTATGCGATCCCTGGAACGAGCTTCAAGCATGAATCGGTCACTAGACAAATACGTTTTTACAAATCCATAGTTTATGGTTTGTGCGTTGTTCTACCATTTCAGGTGTTCTAATTTTGGAGGACGCTTGAACTAAAAAAACGAACACACTTCCCGGTGTGTCTGCTTTCCTTGAAGCTCACCTCTGCTTCAAGTAAACCAATACCTTGTACTGATAAACAAACTAGCAACCATAGATGTTTCCCTGATTCAAATTGACAATATAGCTGCAAAATTGATCTGTACACAATATACGAAATAAAGCATCAAAAGTTCTAAGAGTTTGCATTGAACCAAAATTATAGCATTTTAACAAAATCAAGAACGATTTTTTATTTTTGAAAAAAAATTTGCTGCTATGGAAATCTTAAACATTCGGGCTTTTGCAAAACTAGAGCCACCTATAACAGTCCTCAATAATATTTCTACGGCTCATTTGCGGTCTTCTACCTCCGGTGGCCTGAATCAGAATTAAATGTCTACCTCTGACATTCCGACAGAGTTCCATGACTTTATAATTCAAGTTATGCTATAAAAAATTTTCATTAGCCATGTTCACTTCACGACATCATTCACTAGACGGAATCCTTTAAAAATTACGTTGCCTTGGTGATTTCTGCAGTACAGACCATATCCATGGCTTCAGTAAGTGGGAGGCAGCGAAGCCCCTCACCGATGCCAAGCTTCAGTCCTAAGTGTGTCTGCAACCAAGGTTTTAAGGGACAAAGTGGACATTCATGCGCTGGAACAGACATCGGGGTTGAAACCTCCGGCAAGATTTTTCCCCGCCCTTCAGAAAATGCATTGGCTGCATTCGATGCGATGCAGTCTTACTGATGATCAAATCCACAAAACCTGTCTGGCCACCTTTTTCCATTACAAATTAAACTTGACCTGAGGTCATTGCCAAAAGGCGTGTGTCGGTAGAAAGGTCGCCGTTTACACGAGGTCAGCATTATAAGGCAGTTTGCGGCTCCAACTCCCTCAAATGCTTGGTCGCCTTGTTCAGAATCACAGCGGAGGCGTCGCGCTGGTGGAGGTTAAAATCGGAAGTTTCTTCAATTCTTTTAGGGGAAAATCTTTTTAAACCGTTAGCGGTTGTGAGTAGAGTAGATTGTGTTTAATAAGCCCGCAGCCAGAGTCAGTTAAAATCCCAGAAAGTCAATCAGAACTGCTTTTGGTCAACTGAAAAGCGATCAAAGAGCCTACAAGTCATATTAACCATAATGTTAGTTGTTCAGGCAATTCAAGTGAGAAAATGCAAGCTTATCTGATCAAGTTCAAAGCCAATTAATGTCGTAAGCGAGAAATGGCCTAGCCATCCATAAACACCCATTTTTATTTACTCCACGTTCTGTAACCTGCAGTGGTACTTGGTGCCATTAACGGCTATAAGGCAATTTCCATGCACAAAATTTCACTGAATGCTGCGGCTTCGTGCACTTACGCTGGAATCAAAAAGAGCAAATGGTTACTGTGGTGCATAAAAGTCCGTATCTACGCAAGTAATGTTGCAAACTCCTCGAATATGGCAACTCACTATACAAATCTGCACTTTTGTCATTGAGTGGTTTGTGTTAAAATTTATTACTGTCGCGTTGATGCATTGAGTCCAATGCAAAAATGGCATTTCCTCAGCAGTTCAAATGGGCACCAGAGGGTGTAAACCTGGGTGCCGCGTCAAATTCACTTGAAACAGCCTGTGTATTTTCGCTCGTCTACGCAAAATGACGAGCGGATGTAATCACAGAGGGATTCAGTTAGCTGCAGTCGCATTGACGCACATAACAACTTGAGAGTGCATCAGAATCTTTCGACTAAGGTCTGCTTGAATAACAGGATGTCGCTGTCCTATTCACTTCACTTTTAACGACAGAAGTCTAATTTTTAATTTTATGTGATAGCTTTGCAGAGTTGTTGCATGAAAAATCCATTAAAACAAGACTATTTAAACTAAACTAAATTAAGTTCCAGACTGGGACAGAATCAATCAATTAATTCATCAGAAATTCAAGCGTATGGCAACTGAAGGCGGTAAAATTTTGTTAGTTAATCCCATTTAAAGTTGAATATGGGGGGAAAGTGGATCTGCTAGTCTACGTGCAGTACTTATAACGTCCACCAATAGGTGGTGCCATCCTTATGGCAGAGTAGAACTCCAGGGCAGGCCCTTCAGGCTTTGCTGCTATGGGGCTCAAGCTGTCGTGACTACTGACACATACTCTGTTGCCTGTGGAAACTATTGAAAGAATAAAAATCGGTGGACGTTCACATTTCGGCTTGGTCATCCAATGAACGCCGAGCATTGAATACACGTCACAGCTTTAACATTGCGCCCTCGGTACAAGTGGGAAAACGTCTGTGGTTTCTGCCTTTCCGCAGCCCCACACATGCACGCACACCAGGCATATCAGTTCGACACGTCAGCTTCGGGTGTACGCACGCTTGCATCGAAATTGATTACGTAGGCTAGCACAGTCGAAACGATGACGCGAACACTAAGAGCCAATCAAAACGCACCAAGAAGCATACTGACCAATGATACAGCTGGCCGGTCATTGCCTAGGAGGACGCGTGCTCGCGCGCACACAAATCGGCGCAATAACCATTCCCACGTGCATGTGTGCATTTGTGGATGTGAGGTATCCTCCCCTCCCCCCAATTAGAGCAAAAGTATGAGAAGATCTCTTTGAATATCACCAAGACATGACATTAATTCCGTTGCATCTTCTCTCACTATTTATTCTGTCACATATCGTCTTCGCAGCAGACACAAGGGAACAGGACATTGATTGGCTGTTTCCATACGCCGGTGCTCGAATATATACCACAGAAAAGAGAGGCACATATTTTGGCTACTCCGTAGCGAGTTATGTGGGACAAACGCAGCCCTTCTGTCTGGTGGGTGCACCAAAAGCTCGTAATACCTACGACTTTTTTGGTCCCGATCCAGCTGATGTTTTAACTCAGCAAGATCCCATGGTCGAAATGTTCGGAAATACCACAGGATTAATTTACCGATTAGACTTGGACGCAGAATATCCTGACTGCAGTCGAATGCCAATTGCAGATAACAACGAGGATAGGCGGTTATATGGGACCCTGGAACCTGGAGGTCAGTCGGTAGCCTCTTTTTTTGTTTGAGTTTGTCATAAAAGTCAGTTGAGAGTAGGTTAGCACACGACCCTTGATTTTGCGATTAAACAGATGTAATTTTTCCTTAGGGAATTTAATTATTGGTGGTTCTAAAGATTCTACATCATCGCTAAATAACAAAAACCACATAAGCTGAGTACGCAAATGAATTGCAACGTTCAAGGAGCTACAGCACACAAATGTGGCTGATATTCATGCCACTTATGTTACCTAAATTGGAGACGCCGGTTACTTTACTTTAAAGCATTCTTTGTGAGTAATAACAGAATGTAATATAATGTGACTCCAACTCTTGTACGCAAAATGTTGGATGTAATAACGAAACGTGAATGATGGGTCGTGCATCAACGTGTCTTATCAATGACAAACCGTACAAAGCAACTACTCACCGTGTCTGCAGGATAAGAAAATGAGCACATATTTCGCTCACTAACAGCAAGTCCATCGACATGAAACAACAACGTTTAAAACACGTCGATCTCCCACGCCAACAGTAAAGGGTCTAGGGAATGCTCATCTGAGGAAAGACTGCAGGCGATACACAATGATATTGGTTGTCGCGGTCCATTAATACTGAGGTACACATCAATGTGGATTTTGTTTATAGACATAACCAAGTAAATGAGTTATGTTCGTGCTAATTTGTCGATGAATACACACCGGTATTGCGATAGTCTCGACAACCACTTTGGAGCCACGCATGCCGCAACACAACTACCTTGTATGGCAAGCCATTCAGTACGGTAGCAAAAACTCAAGTAGCAGTGATTGTGGACAGTATCCCTGAAGGGAACCGTGGCGATTCTGCCTCGATGTCCCACCATTGCCCCATTCCCCGGGTGTGGCCGTCGTGTGTTCTCAATCGCCCCTTGCGATGACCTTGAAACGAAGGCGCCTTGAATCAAGCCTTAGGACATGCCTCAGGCCAAACACGTCAATGCAAGTCGGAATGTGCACTTTTGCAGTTGTCTCGGTGTGAATGAGGTGCCCAATGTTTGCACGATTGGCGTCTTGACTAGGGCCTTACTGCAATGTGTATTTGTCTAATCACGCCTCGTCGATAGGCCGCCACACTGTAATGCAGCACAAGGTACATTGTTGCTGTCTTCGAAATCGCTGTCAATTAAAATCAATTCCCTGGAGGCATAAAGGGGACAGCATGAGGGGCGAAAGTACAAATCCGCCATGGAGAAAGTGTGTGCTGGAACATCAAATGGGCTAATTGCATCGTTGATTTAGTGGGGAGAAGTTATTTGTGTTAAGAGACTGTTTTGTGAAGATCTGAGGTATTCTTTAAATCGTCGTCAGCGACAAGAATATCGCTTTTAGCTTTTAAAATGAGAGCTGTCAAAATCGTGACGTGAAAAATACGCCATGATTTTGAGACACTGGGGTAAGGAAGTGTTTGTTATCAGTTAATGTGTTCAGGTTTGCATTAACGCAACCAAATATTTGTCCGTGGGTGTGTAAGATCTTAGTCGATAAAACACTGGCGTGCACGAGTAACAGTTTTCACTCAATAAGGCATGCTTAAACACAAATGTAGTATTGTGACAAGTTTGGGCATAGTCTCTCGGATACAATTTTACCGAGACAACGTCAAAACGATTACCGGTTCGTGATCACATGTTGAATTCTGCTTTTGAAATCACAGCTGGGATCACATTTCTCACGGTGCTCAAATTGAAAAAAATATGATGTCCTTTAAGCTTATTGTGAACCTATTGCATGTTCAACGACCATTTCAAGTAGTATTCGAAGGCAGCCGGGAAAATGGAAGATAGTGGGTTGAAACAAATGAAGGAATCGGCATGCATGTGTGCAATCCGGTGGAGAAAGACTACACAATGACGACGGCCGCTGTCTGTAGGGCACTTCGAGAACGTTGTCGATTGTAACGCACCATCTTATAGCTTAGGGTGCTAGTGTCTGAGTACGTTCACAGCCATGTAGATATAGGAACGGAGGTGGTCAGTAATGTGGCAGCTGATATATCTGCACTGAGGTGAGCTGATGTGGAAACAACTTAGACAGGGCTTACGTTGGGTCTTCAACTTTGCACAACACCGAGGTTTTTGAAGTCGAAACACACTTCCAAATTCACGTACACTCTAAAAAACAATACACTCCCCTGGTTTTAAACTCGCATTATTTAAAACAGAGAATTAAATTTCCTAGGACTGGTGGTTCAATGCCCCAAGTCGCTTGTTACGAACCAGAGTTTGGTTCTTAATGAAAGTTAGTTTCTTGTTATAGGGTTAGTGATATGGGAATAAATCTTATAAGTGCACTTTATTTTATTCCAATCAGGATTTCTTACACGTGACATTTAAAAGGAGGCCTATATTGTGCCCTAGAAGCATGTCAAAAAATCAAAAAGATTTCATTGAAATTGCTTACCGCTATAGATTGAAAACATGAGTTTATGAAATTCATTCCTAGGGTTCATAGACATAACACGCATGCTATTTATTTTGCATCCGCGTTGGCCTGTCCACGCTAATACTGATTTAACAATGCCATCATTCTTTGGGCTCATCGTAACATGATTACTTATTATATCCAGATAGAAAAAGATGAAAAATCTTTGGTGAAGTGAGAGCACATTACTCAACAATTGATAAATGCGTTGAGCCACAAATGTGCTTTGCAAGAGCTGACCTAAAAGCTTCAGGTATTTATCGCTTAATGGAAATTTTACCCAAAAATACATTCAAAATGGCTCAGTTTCTAATAACGGATTGGTGGGTGTCGTTATGTCTGACTCAAAAGCTTCAGAATCATACACTGACAATTTGCCGTTACATGGAGGTTTCCATATTGTAGTTCACCCGTAGTTAGTGATTACATACCTTCAATAAAAAGTTATTTGGGCAGACATCGGCGTAGTTTTTGTTTCTGGGGAACACCCTATGTTCAAGCACCTCGGCTTCGGGCAAACGAAGCTGAAGCTGCCGTCTTTTTTGCGAAGAAACCTGAATCCAGCATTGTGTGGTTTGCAAAAACACTTCAAAGCATTCCAATATTGCTTCTTGCCCATTGAAAATGTCATCTACAGTGGAGTTCAACCTATTCTTGGACTCCAATTCAACTAGGTGTTATTGGTGGCAATTTCGCGAAACTTCATCTGAATAAAAATGTCCTGGGTTCACGGTTGTGACTTCCTGTATCTATATTTAATTTTGTTATTGTAAAACATTGATGCTACACTACATATCATATAATGAGCTACTTTTATTAACACCTACCCGAGATATTATTTGCATTCACAATACTGTATTACAATATTGTCAAAGGAAAATCGTAAGCCGTTGGTAATCATGGTTCTGCTACCATAATTTTAATCAGCGAACAGTCATGTAGTAAAGATAACTGGAGTAGTCATTTTTGCATAAACTACGTCAACGATGCCGACTGCAATGTTTTGAATGGTTCCTTTCCTAAAAGTTTATAGACAAATCGTTGGTAATGAATAGGGTATAAAGTGAGAAGATAAAAGTTGTGTTTGGTTGACTTTTGTTAGATTTAGTCAACTGCATGTATACCTAAAGATACAGAATTAAAATATACAGAAAAAGCAACCAGTTTGTCACTTGCTATTTCCTGACTTATGTTATTTTTCTATCTTGTCGTCCAAAGCAGCGTCTTCGCTGTTTCTCGAATGTTTATGATGAAACACACTTTGTCACGTGTCTACTTATTATGCTTGATATCAGAGGCAGTTTAATTAGTAGGATTTCCTCTCCATGCAGTAAGTTTTCGTGTAGACATCATCTTATCACGAAATATGGGGTTATTCCAAGGAATAAACCATTACTCAGTGCCCTCAAGGAAAAATCCAACTGCATTTCCCTAATCTCATAATTACTTGATAAGCATAACTTGGCCCACAGTCTATACTTATTTTATGTTGTCGTTGATTTCATGTGTTTGTCGTCGATGACAGTGACGAGCGGGAATGACTTGGACTGTAGGGCGAAAACATTTCACTTTTATTTCAACCGTGACCACAAAGCTTCTATTTATAGTCCTCTTTCAAACTGTTACGACGAAAAAAGACAGATACTCTCTCGCCTGAGTGTCGAATTTAGTAGCCTGGAAGCATTTTAACAATCCGAAAATCTATCAGACACTTTCCTTATTTTTAATACACGTCTTTATGTTTGGTTGCCGATACCTTTGCAGATAGGTAATGAGAATTACGAGCGAAATTGATAGTTATTTTCATCCTGTGTTGAAAAATTATCGTACTATTCACTTTACAAAAGGAATTATGAAATTGGACAGTCATTTATTCGGCCGCACATAATCCAGAGTGAATTGCAGTCATTCTTGGGAAATAGAATGTTTTCGGTGTCACCGATAAATAACTCGTCATTGGTTAGACTCACCGTACAATTTAAAATTTCAATAGTCATGAAATGGTGGGGAGCAGCGTTTATGTGCGACATTAACAAAAACCTTAAGCTCGTAATCAGCTGTTTAATGTCAGGACTAACGTCTTGCTTCTGCTTAAATTCACTCCTATTTCTTTCAGTCTCCTTGTGGATCGGTGGCATGGTGGCAGCAACCAGCGATGGCAGAGACGGACTCCAGCTCGGCTGTGACCCCAGGTACCTATACACCCCCGCGGCATCCAGCAAGTCATCCTTGCCTGGTCTTGGTATGCAGAACATGGGGACTGGCACTTGTGCACTCTACACTGGCATTTCAATGCAATATACCCCAATCGATGCCTGCGTTAGCAACGAGGAGGGAGCGTGTCTAGCAGGGTTCAGTGGAGCCGTTGAATCTGGTATGAAATCTGTAACGCTCTGTGACCTATCGCTTGGTATTGAACACTGATGCCTTAATGCACCAAAGTTGTCAACTTTGAAAGTAAAATTGAAATATCAGGTGGTTCCATCTGATTAATGTCTTTCATTCCTAATTGAAGCCCATTGAAGTTAAATAATGGCTTTGTTCATTAAGTGGCACCACAAGCAGAATCACCGCTGCGGCTTATAATGACAGGGAAATCTGTTTGCATTTCTTGAAACGGTTGGTTATTCCGGTGTTGATTTCCCTCTGACTTGTTTCCAAATAATTTATTTTAGTAGAATGGCGGAATCCACTATCTTACGGATGAACAATTGTCATCAAAGTATTTTAACATCCTATTCTCTTTACAGCCAGTTGTATATACAGTCTGTGTAATTATTTCTTCTTTGAAAGACTTGACTGAAGAAGAACATAGCAGGAACACAGCGATTTCCGGGTGTCGTATTTTTTTGGTGTAAAGGGACACGAAAGTCTACAAATATCTTGGGAACAGATGGACACTTCTTATAGGCACCAAAGCTTTGACTTTACCGACTACAAATGTGTGACTTTTCCTCCATCAGTAACCCTATTACTGACACGACAATGACCGCCCCATGTTCTAGTACTAGTTTTCCAATAAAAGGAGTCATGCCCTAGCTCACCAAATGTTTCGCTGAATCACTTATGACTCTAATAAAACTACCACAACTTGACGAGCTTTTAGCGCTTCAAATGGTTTTTCTAAAAACTGGCACAAATGTAATCAAACTGTTTGGTGCTGTTTTAAGCACTGCAAAAGTGGATGCGGGCAACCTTGGCATCAGGTCAGTTACCTAGCAACAAGGGGGTTTGTCCTTGTAGAACTGGGTCTGAGGTCGGTGTCCTAGCTGGAAAGTTATTTCTGAAAAACCATGTTGTCGTAATACCTTTTGCATCTACTGGGGCGCCTTTGCAAGGATGATCTTGTAGTTAACCAAAATCTGACAATAAATATGCTTATCAATTTTCCGGTTTTTTTGGCCTCCAAGTTTGTCGATGCCCAGTCAATTGTATGCCTTGTTCTCACAGCAAATCCCTTCTCAATTATTATCCTAAACATTACGAAGGCATCATTGTGGGGTCATAGTCAGATCCGTTTTTACTGTGTAAATTTAAACCACGAGAACAAATAAGCCAAAACTTGTAGAATTAGATTGCTGACGTCCCTAGCATGCTATCTTGAACCATTCCGGAGCCACTGCGTCAATCTACCCCGGCTACGCTACCATGAGTGCCCGCGAAGATGAAGGAGACCGGAGAGGAAGAGGCACAATCGTTTACTAGACAGCTCAACCTGGTTGTGTTGTGTTGACTGATACAGTTGACTGGACTAGCAAAAGTACAGATGTCTGAATGGTCACATGCATAGAGCGGGTGGTGGTGGAACATGCAGAGGGGTTAATGAGCCGGCGGTCCTAGTAACTGACGCGCACGCCGTGAAAAGGGGGCATGCGTTTGAGGCTGCGACGAGCTGGTTACCGGACATGAATTAACACGATTCATTACAAGATTCCCAAACTGCGGTGGCATTTGATAGGGCAGGCAGTAATCTGAATAAGCATATTTTATACTTTAGAGTACCCCGCAGAGTGAACACTGATTGGATTGGAGTACCTATAAAGACGTGGTGGAAATATTCCTTTTTTATCGAATCTGGCATGGATGACAGCTTTTAAAACCCCGTCGCTATTATTCGTCCAAAATTGTGTTGGTTTATCACAATCAATAAAAAATAAGGTTTAGTAGCAGTTGTGTAACGTGTTTGCACAACTGCAAGAGTGTCCGAAAGCCGATTCGATCGAAACGTCGGTACAAGCATCAGCAGTTTTTGGCATACTGGCCCTCCTTAATACCACCTTCGCCTCGGGTATTTTTGTTTTTATTCCACGCTGGTATACTTTTGACGCCACGTCAAACTGTGATTTTATGCACATTAGAAAAACTGAATTTTAGGAACAATAAGGAAACTGTTGAAAATTCCAAACAACTGGTCATAGTTTCTTATTTGTATATAAATCAGACTGTTCTGTAGTTGATGCATTTCGCATCAGCGATTCGCAGGCCTAGTTTCTTCCTTTAGCATGTTGAAATCATTTCCATACTTTCTTCGGTTCCTCTGATTTCTCATCAGCTTACGCCATAAAATTTTGAAGGCAGTTTAATGCTAAGTTTATCGTAATCCGGACAAATTCGAAATGTCTTGATTCACCGAAATTAAATTTTAAAAAAAGTCTTTTTGACCCCTTTGTATTGGGATGAGGAATGGATTCGTGCAGTTTAATTAGATTGCAGTGCATTTAAGGCCCCGAAATAACACAATGTGAATTAACTTTGAACCGGAGTGACTTATTCCTCACCCAACGTCTGCTCCTTATTTCAGCTCACTCTCACTCCTGCAGCATTTGTCTCCTATACTTTTATCATAGAATATTTCCCACTTAGATCCATGTTCACGCCCCCAACCACAAAAAGCCAATTATTCTGTACTAATAAGAGAATATTTACACAGTGGAAAAAATCAAGGTCCCCTTTATCAAAAGTTCGTTTGTGATAGCATCCTCACCAGATCCTATAATCGCATCAATCTGCTCTCATAAATGTCAGAGCGCATGCACTAAGGAGTCATCGACCATTTCAGAAATCATCAGCAAAGCTATGGTTTTCTGTGGAAATAAATTAATTTGCCTCGCTGCTAAGTGGTAAATCTGACCCATAATTTTCTGGTAAATTGGCAATGGCCCAATTGTGTAATTTCTCTCTCTGAAGACTCCTCTCAGCATATTAATGCGTCAGGCAATTCTAATTTGCCGACTGTGAAAATAAAAAGACTGACATGGGCAATTTTTGTCACTCAGCAACCCTAAAAATATGGTAAAGGTTAGGACAGTAGAATCTGAACTTCACTCACCGCTTATTGGTGGTGTTTAAGCATCGTAGATAAAGCGGTGATATTAACTAAAACCCACCCAAATACCATGCCTTACAGTTCCAATGTCCGTTTCGAAACTCAAAATAAGTAGAAAATATCGTTGTTTTTTTTAGGATGATCGTGGTGTTGAGTGTTTAATTTGTTGGATATTGATAAATAGTGTTAAGTGCTCCTTCTCGTGAAAAAATATGACATTCCTAGTCCAAAGCTTTCAAGATAAATTAAAATTTATTACCTTTACAACATGATTATTGTTGGTTATTTCTGAACTTGGTACGTTTCCCAATTGCTGGACATTCGCATCCCCCCGGTGTAGCACCTTCATGTGTAATTTTCGAAGTTGAATTCCAGTAATTTAAAAGCTATGTAAATTATCTGAAGGGTTCTCTTTGATAGTTTTGTACTGTTAAATGTCATATTAATTGATCGGAAAGCAGCCAATTTAGCTTTCTTTAGCATTTGAGAATTTAGCGTACCCACAACCTTCTCTTTTCGTGATAATTTAGGCACCGAACCAGGCGAGGCGTTCGTCGTCTTGGGCATGCCTGGCTCTTATCTGACAGAGGGGAACGTCTTCTTTGGTCACTACCGAGGCCAGGAGGCTCTTAAACAACTCAGGTTAAAAAGCTCACCGCAGGACCTTAAGCATAAGGGCTTTAATCTAGGATATGCGGTCGGGTTGTACAAGCATCCTCAGTGGGATCCTCAAACCTCCCCTTCGTCCTTGTCTGCCACAAGCTCCAGTCGGTTCACCATTCTCGCTTCCAGTCCCATGTGGGTGGACAATGACTACCGAGGAGTTATCATGCTTCTAACTGAAGCCCTTAACCTTGACTCGGTAAGCTATTTTTCTGAATGCCAAATGAAGAGTTTCTGTGACGTCACTGCAGCAATGAAGGGATTTTGTAAAATTCAGTTTGGACGAAGAAGTCATAACCGTCCCAGCTTAGACTGATGGATGTGATCAGAATTTAGCGAACTAGAACCACCAGCATCACGAGTATTCACAGTTTGACTGCCAGAGCTTAGATACATTGGAATTCTGCATGTAGTCTGAACCCGGATGGTTTGACTGCCTGCTACTCTAACGGCTTTAGGGATCCTGGAAAAAGGGACCAAAGCGTATAATAAACCTTGCAAAATATTCCACTTTGCAGAGGCGACCATAAATTGACTAACGTAAGCATTATCATGTGTAAATGTTCTTATCTGCGGTCAGAGCGCCTTACCTAGTCAACGCAGAAAGTTTTGTGGTTGAAAAGGAGATGTATTACTAATTTGCATCAGAGTAGTCTAGACACACACATTATCATCACTTAACTTTAATGCTCTCCAGATTCGTTATATCAACGATCAATGGGGCCACATCGGGAGTTTTTTTGGATACAGGTAAGATTTTTTTCCTTAGTCTTCAATGACGTTTATTTAAGCTGGCTAAATCCACAACTTTACATTTCAGCATTGCAGCCGCTGACTTAAATGGCGACGGAATCGCTGAAATCATTGTAGGATCCCCTTATTTCTCAGAAAACCAACGCTTCAAGGAATCACAAACAACTATTGATTCCCTAAATATACAGGCTGATCAGCCTTTGCAAACCGAAGAAAGTGATGACCCTCAAAACCGGTACCGATCAATAACTCCAGACGTTGGTCGTGTCTACATTTTCTATGGTAAACCACAAGAATTAATCGGAGCTGCAGCCTATATGGAGAGTGAAGGAGATCTTGATCAAGATGGATATGGAGAATACATACACGACCCCCCTGTTATCTTGAGGGGTCCCCTACGCCCTGGGGGTCGTTTTGGACATGTAGTTCTCGCGTCGGGAGACCTGGACGGTGATGGCATTGAGGATATGGTCGTTTCGTGTCCCTTCTGTCATGATGCCCGAAAATCCGTAGACAAGGGCGCTGTTTACCTGTACCTCGGGCGCAAAAATGAGATGATTAGAGACGAACCTGACCAGGTTAGCACCAAAATCCAGTTTGTTATCTCAGCATAAGTTCCTGTTCAAATAATTATGACCCACAAGTTGTTAGTTCAAATTTAAATAACCTGCCAGAGCCTAATATTTGTTTAGACTATCGTCTAGTCAATGACGTTACGAGTTGGTAATCTGCCTCCCTAATTAGTAACACCCTGTTGGTTCGGGATCAAATAAGGTTAAAATGACGCTTCACATTAAATGTCTCCTTTCACTCACAATATTAACCGTGTATTCTAAGGTAGGTGCGTTTGACTAGAGATATTGGCGAATTTAGTGCAGGTATCAGAAGTGCCTAACTGATACATAACACGCTTTGGAAGACAGATAGGGAAGCCGATGAGGGATTCCTTTCCAGCCCCCCTGGCGCAAATAATCAGCCAAAGATTCTTTTTGGGCATATTTGTCCATCCTCCCCACAGAGGGCGCCTGCCCCTCACGCCTCGCGACTCCGCAATTGCGCCGTTGTGGGTGTGAGTGTGTGTGTGTGTGTGTGCGAGCGACGTGCTGGCGTAGCCTTTGGCCTGCGGGCGCGCGGCGCACTATCGAGTGGTCGGCGCCCTGTTTGCGGGTCAAGTGGGACGGCTTGGAGGGCCACAGAGGCCGAGAATTAATCGCCTTGGCGTTGGTGCATGCCCTGACTTTACTGGCAAGTGCTCGGGCCTCAGTAAATGCCAAAATTGCAAGGGGATTTGGTCTCTTGTTAGAGTGATTCAGTCTTCCGATTACCACAGTTTGACTGGAAAGTATTTCGGATTCGTAGGCGACCGACCCAACATAATCAAGGGGACTGATAAAAAATTTCAGGGAAATATTGCCTTGGAATTTTCTATGACGAAATGCATTCCACTACACAGTATTATTAGTACAAGGAATTGGAAACACGTTAGCACATTTTCTCCGAAGACATAAGTTTTATAAACAAAGCCCGATCTACTTATATGTAGGGTTTTGGCTTAAATAGAAGCCAACAATTCCATGTTGAGGCAATGTTTTTCGCACAATGTAAAGCAGTGTCTCGGGTTAGATCCGAAGCTATTCGGAATCTATAATTTAGCCGACGTAAAAACCAATTAGCCATCGAATTCGGAAGTGACGCATTCATGCAATCCGCCACATGCTACGGATGCTTGTTCGGTATTTTTATTAGGTCCTTTAACTGCTAAATTATGGAGTCCATTAAACAAACAAGTTGAAAATTATCACTGTGTGTTCTAATAAAGATAATGCTGCGAAAAAAATTGTCGATCCAAGTTAGTTGGTAAAAGATTAAGTGCAGTTAACCTCCAAGGTGACATTCGTCTGTTTTAATTATCAGACAAATCCTAGGCTATACTCACTGAAGAATCCCACACAAAATGCTTTAACGTTTCTTATACGGTAGTGTACAGACAGTAATTGAACTGTATTTGTAAAATGTATTTTTAGATTATCTATGCCGGTGAACTGCCTATGAGGGGCACCTTTGCCTGCGAAGGTTCTTTTGATGCTTCTCAGCCCAACAAGCGGCCGTTTTCTGCCTTTGGGTGGAGCATGGCCACAAAATCCGACGTTGACGGGAACATGTCGCCCGATCTAATCATAGGCGACTACGACAGTGAACAGGTGAATATATGTGACCTCCGCACGCATCATTTTTTTTAATTTATGCCACGTAAGGATAAGTAATATGGCTAAGTGAAGAAGAAGTCAGTGGATTCGTTGACATCAAACACCCTTAATTGCAAGTTGAGGGACAGCAGACATTTTACATAAAACTTACAAAGAAAGGTCCCCACTTATTGTAACAATTACTCAATTTAAACTTTAGGTTGTGGCCCTCCAATCAAGAAATCTGGTTTGGTTAGAGGAACCCAAATGGAGACTCCCAAACCGACCTACTCTAGACTGGTCAGGTCCATACAATTCCTCGTGTGACACGCGCTGCCGTTACCATGTTGCACTCAGCCTCAACGTCCGTGCCCGTGAAGAATTTTTCTTGTCAAATCCTGACACTCCCTTTCGACTCCGCTATCGAATCGATTTGGACAGTCGAATTACTCAAAATAGTGCTAAACGCCTGCATTCTGTAAAAACAGGTGAACCTGTTGTTGTAGATTCGACTGAAGTCACTCTCTCCAGTTTAAAGAAAGCATCAATCGGAAGTCGCCTTTTCAAAATGTTTGAATTGGATGTTGAGCCTCGCTGGCACCAAGCATCACAACAGCTCTGGAAGCCAATAGTCATTAATGTCAGTATTGAACTCCTTCCAGAGAATGTGGGCATCTTGTCAGTTGAAGGGAGGTGGCAACCTGGCTGGAATCTCCATCCCTTAAAGGGAGATCGAGTTTTCTTTAGTCGGCCTATGTACTTTTCGAATCCTGACTGCGGTTATGACAATATTTGTGTGCCTGATTTAAGCATCGAGGCTTATGACACCTCAGAAGGCTTTGAGTTCGGCGGTGAGGGGCCCTCGACAATTTACTACAAGGAGAGGATTAGTGAGCGCAACTTCACAGTCGCCGTGCGGAACCTCGGAGAGAACGCGTATGACACAAAAGTGCGCGTCCACATCCCCTCGCACTTTTCTTACATACCAGACAAAAATTACGCTTGCAAAATTGAAATTGAGCCGCAGGAAAGCAATGAAACTGTGGATCTTTATTCGGATGACACGGAGCGCGAAAATTTCAAAATTCCCGTGAGCTACTCCTTACGTTATTTCAGACTTTCATGCATAGATGATCATGGAGTTTGCGAATTTAAATCAAACCTTTCGAGCTATAAAATGACATTGTACTTTACTGGCATTAATTTAGCTGTTTCGGTGCTATTGGCATTCATTCCCAAAGGACACTGTGAGATTCTTTATTTCAAGCAACAGTACTTAAAGCAATCTAATTTGCGATTAATTGCAATTGTCGTCATCGACTACAGTGACCAAGGCGCAGACTTTTCCAGTCTGATAGAGACACTAAAGCAAAGCTGGACATCATTCGAGATCATAGACCCCCCATATAAAACAGTTAAGTGAATGTGTCAACACAATGATTTCAATCAGACAAATGTATAGATTCAAATGACACATCTTGGAAGGAACGGAAGTAGTTAAAAAAAATTACCTGCACCAGCACCTAAGAACTGCTAAGCACTTCAATTTGCCAACACCTCTTAGCAATCCGGAACAGAATTTTCACTTTCAGATAAACAGGCTAACAGCTATTTAGCGTAGCGAAAGTTGTCGCTGTTTCTTTGGCAAAATAATGTACAACTTGACAAGGAGAACTCCGCGAGGGTTGCGATGGCTTGTAAACTGCCTGTTTATAGGATGTTTTTAGGCTTTAGGTAGCAAGTGTGCCCAAACAGCCAAAAATTTCAATTATTTGCTCAATTGTAGAACTGGTACGTCGTCATTAGTAAATAAATTGGTCATTTGAAATATTTGCAACTTGGAGCATTACTAGAGGTCCAGATTGGACAGTTATCCTGTCGACCATCGGCGGGTCCTAATGCATCAACCATTTTGGCCAGCCCAAGCTTTTTAGTCGTGGGTATTACTTTGCATGCTCGATAACCTATTATCGTTCATGTTTACAGCTCATGCTTTCAAGTTAATAAAACTCTCCAATCGCACACCTGACATGTTTTGATGGTGTGTAAACAATTTCTGCTGACATGACAGCCAAAGATTGATGGAGTTTTGCAAATAAGTCGTCAAAATTAAAACAGCTTCCCGTTGACGCAGGATTGAAGGCCTTCTAAGATGAAACCTCACCGTAACAGGAGAATAAAATACGGAAAATTAAAGGTCCAGGTTACAGTAGGTAGTCAAAGTTATATCTAAAGACTATGAAAGCAAACCTTGCAGTTTTATTTTCAAGAAAAATGGGTTTTGGAACTAATTTTACTGCCAAATCATTCTCATGCTCCAGCTAATCGGACTTCTACTAAATTTGGGGATTTTCAAGATGGACGCAGGTTGTTCCCGAGAAACAGTGTGTAACGTTTTCATCGATCGGTAAAACGTGCGGCAGCCAACTTTTTAATGCCTTCCCAACGGTACGGCAATTTTTAGTGTGCGCAGACGGTATCTTGCTTGAGCCAAGGCATAATGGACTAAATCTGACCTACATTTATTTGACATTGGTATTTGTCCCAATTTTCGACTATGAAGGCTTTTCATCACTCCAATTGTCTACGTCCACGCACCCTCGACGAGTTGTTTACGCACACAAAAGCGTGAAAGTCGAATTTTTTTAATGCGACTGTCAGATAATCTCTATGACCAGACGATGAGTCACGTCCAAGCGCTATAATTGACACCTCATACACGTATGGGCCTTTTACACGCCACGTCCGATAATCCACCGTGCAGGTGTTTGTGCCATTGACTTGTGACACTGCCACTCATCGCACACTACCCTAGATACCAAAGCCAGATGCAAATAATACGGTGTATGTTACCACCGCTCTTCCGCGTTTTCTCAAGGCTGGGGACTTAATCCGGTTGGCTCAGATGCGGCTCTTACTTGATTATCATTTTAACACCTCGTTTTGGTGACAACAACTTTTGAAAACCTGGAGTTACCAACGCTTCCAGCCGACTGATTAATGATACTTTTCCCACGAGAGTAATTTTGTTCAAGGTCTAAGTGGCGAAGTTAAAATCGATATCGACAATGAAAGGAATAGGGCAAGAATACGTGGTGTGAGCTAATGTCATATTCCGTAAGACTTCGGTTAAGGAGGTCTAACTTATTCAAATTATATTCCCTCTTTCATAAAAGGCACCACTAATCAACACGGTTAAGATAACTCAGGTCAATTATAAGACAGTTAAATCAATTTTAAATGTCTGATTGGTCCGAAGGCTTCTGCGTGAATCAAAACTGATACAGAATTAAATAATTCGTGAAGTTCTATGGAAAATAGGGATTTCGATAAAAGGAAGTCATGGGAAGGCAGAAATTGAAACATTCACTAATGTTGGTTGGCAATTGCTTGAATGAAAGCACGTGCAATCAGACTGCCTGCATGCATGCTAAATTTGTTTCTTACCGAAACACTTACTCCCGCTGTAATCTATTACTCGCTGTGGTTTTTTAGCTAGCACCTACAAATTAAAATAAATGTTAACATGAAAGGTCAAATAGCTTGGTTACATAGTTTTTTTCCCAACAGAGTAATCGCGCTAACACTCGGCGCGGGCAAACGGCGGTTTCGGTGGCCGTTCACAGAACCGAGGTCGGACAACCCGGTTAAATATTTTGATGTGATATGTAGGATTAGCAAGTGATGCCAGTTACACAACAAATTATAGCTGTAACCTTGACTATCACTTTTTTTGTTTTTTTTTAGATCACAACCGTGGTGTGCAGTCTTGGGAATCCTTTTGTCTCCACAAGTCCACGATGGGAGAAGATCCGGTTTCAATTAAGCACGTCAGGTGTCTTTCAGCCCCCAGCAGGAATTCGAAGCAAGCCCCCCGACACCAATGATAAGGCGACAACCAACACGACCAAATGGGTTCCACCAGAAAAACTAGAGATTATCGCCGAGGTTACTAGTGGCAACGAGAACATGAGGGACAGGAAGGTGGTCACAAAGTTCTCGTATGAACTGAAGCTCCTCGCCGATATAAAGGTATGAACTCACTGCTCAGACGACAGTCCCATTTTTATTCTTGAGTCTCTTAATGTAACTTGCTTCCACCTTATAAGAACTTTAAGTCCATGGATTAAGTAACTTCCTGTTTAGGCAAAATTGTGGAGTGTTCTTCAACTCGCGCTAAAATTTTCGTTGATCTCGAAGTCATGGGTTCAGAGCAGGGTTTTCGATAATCTAAATGAAAGCTTGCCCAGCCTGAGATCGTCTCAACGGAAGTACTCTGCTTTACACTACTCATATTTTTTTCAAAAGACCTCCCAATTTATTATCTTCAAATTGGACAGCTAGTCAAGTTCACGACAGTAGATCGTTGTTGGTAAAGTAACTTGTTAAACCTTGATAAGGGTGAAAGGAAGTGAGGTCACAGAAACAGAAAGCAGACACTAAAAACCTCCGGTGCATCCTTCTCAAAACTTAAGCTGGTGAGCCGGTAGAGCAGCGCAAATTGCACGAACCGAAGTTACAGTTAGTTCTCCGGTCGAGTAGAAAATATGTGTTGAAGGATGTTCCCTTAGAGGCCAAAACCAATGATGGGCGTCAGTTACTGGATTTGCTGCAAACTTACTGGAGGATGACTCCAATGTGAGGCATTTCAAGTATACATCAATTATGGGGATTTCGTTATTCATTTTCTACTAATTGCTTCGTTTGCTATTTCGCCGGTAAACGTTACACCTTTTAAACACACAAAGAATAGACTCTTGGGTTTTCTGGGTTATTATACTGAAAAGTCTGTAACGCATTTTGGAAAAAGTGAAACAACATATTTTTGGGCATTTAAATGTATTTGATTATAATACGCCTAAACATTAAAACCTAGCCTGGCTTTTGGTACGACGTCCAGATAACTTTGATCACGATTAAGTTCAGAGTGAATTGTTTCGATATTAGCAAATTTCATCTTATTTTGCAACGTTTCAAGCCCAAGGATCATAGTCAGAACTCTTCAGCTTTAAATTCTTCGCCTAAGATCAATAGAATGCATTTAATCCATTTTGAATGTGTTAACCTTAGTTGGCTGTTGTGGTCATGCTTCTTCACCTGCTTCTCAGATATCGTCCTCCTCTCTCGGCCATACCGTCTTCGACCGACGGAACTTCTCCTCGCAGTTCACGGAAAGACAGCGTGTCCACCCGGAGAGCATCGGTCCAGAGTTTGAACAGATCTTCCTCGTCTCGAATCTAGGCCCCTCCCCGATGGAGAATATTTGGGTCAACCTAAGTGTACCATTACAAACGGAGGACGGTGACTTTCTGGTCTATCTGCTCGATCTCATAAGAATGCAGAATACTGGAGGAGGTCTGCCGTTACAGATTCCCGTCACCCCAGACGTATGACTTAGCTCTTTTATTAAAGTCTCAAAACACATTAAAGCAAAAATGCACCGGACTGAAGCGTACTCCGGTGACTAGCGACTAGCTTCTAAGTAATGCCGGGGCAAAAATGATAAGTGGAATCTTTGATTAACACCTTCAGCAGCATTCATAACCATGGCCAGCTGGTGTCGTGACGATGCTAAACCCTATTTCCATCACAAAAGTCCATGGTCTTGAAAATGACATCTTGCGAACCCAAATTTGAACTGGATTCTAGCTAAGTTATCATGTTAGGAAGAAAAATTTCAACAGGAAAAGTCTGCTAACAAGTAATAGTTTGTGGTGGAATGACTTAATAAAAATATTAAAATTTCCTAAACTACGGTTGGCCTCCTTTTTCCATTTTTTTCTAGAACGTTGTCAAGCATAAAGAAAAACAAACGGTCAGAGTGAACTTTTAGGCTTAAGCTTTCCAATATGATTAGGTTCCTACATCCATTTATACTGAAGGGAAGACTTAATTGGAATAAAGGAAGTAGAAGCGAAATTGTGTTGTTTAGGACAAAATTACATCCAAATCAAATGCAATCAGCCAGTTGCCAATTTCTCATTTACGGTGCCTAATTTTAAACAAAAAATTCGTTCAGAATGTTTCCGGTGAAGAATTGAAGTTGAAATTTAGAGGTTATAAATCGATAACGGAGTTTCAGGTTTCCGTGGAAACAAAACAATTATTCGGTTGCAAATGTTGTTCACTGAAGTGACCGTAAACATATCAGTCCCCATTTTTTACACGAACCTTTTGCTAAACGAATTTACTATGGAGTTTTGGGTTTTTAAAAGAAAACACATGGTCTGATAGTGATAAAATAAACTGCGCCATGCATTATGCTAGATGTTGTTGATCAGGTGCTATTATTTATTCCGCTAAACTTATTGAGAGCAATTAATTGGTTTGGCTACTGCAAGTAGTATGCACACACAGCCAATGAAAAACCAACGTTTGTACTTGTCTCCCCTGGTTAAACTTTTATTGCTAGCCATTGAACACTAGGTTTAGATGCCTTAATATTCGGGAGCGGCAACCCGACAGTGTGCCACTGGTCAACCGATGCAGCAGGTTTATGGCCATTATAATCTACCGCAAATATCTCAGTACCATAGCAGTTCACGCATTTTTGTCCCGATAACCTAAATTTTGTCAGCTAGCATGGATTAGTACAGAAGTCTTATATGTTCATGAGATTGCATGGATGATCGTGTACAGACGCCACTCATTCTCTCACTCGAATTAGAATTGTGTGTGAATATCACGAAAACTTGTTTTAGTGTTTAATCGTCGTAAAAGTAGTCTAGCTTCTCTTTTAGCGTGTGCATACAGAAAGCAGACTTTTGCCAAAGAACACACACGCTATTTTCCCCATAACTTTTGTGTCTGTAGGTTGTAAGCGCTGACGGTCAATTGAGAGGCACTTGCTTTACCCCCGAGTCAGCCATCAACCCTCTTCGGTTGAATGCGGTAGATCGAAAACGGCACCCGGGTCAAGGTCACAGTTTACACGTGGTCCACCGAGTACGACGTGAAGCTGATGTATTCAACCTGGCACCGGACGATTTGGCTGCAGTACGCGAGACCCGATCGACCACAGCAGATCTTCTAGGCGAACGGGTATCGCAGCAGAAGGTTGTTTCCTGTGACCGACCACTCGAAGACCTCGGTGTTCCGGTGTGCCTCCATGTACGCAATTTAAATCAGTTTCCAATTACAAGGTTTGCGAGAATTTGGTGCGAGTAATTGTAGTCTCTGGTCTTAAGTGACATTTATTACCGTTATTAAAGTTTGTTAAACTAATATTCATGCTTCGTGATAGGGAAGGGCAAAGCACGCTGTAGAGGGGTATATTTTATGGGCATTCACTTCCCGACAGCCATATCCTTTCGCTATGTTCAAGTGGATGCAAGTGTGCTATGGAGACTTAATGACAGAAAGTTTTGGTTTGGCTTCCTCAGGTCTCACAATCCCAAATTTGTAGGATCATTTAATGGTTTAACGTCAGCAATTGTTAGAATCACCAGCGTGTGGCTTAAATTCTTTTTAAATGACCCAAAATTATCTGGTTTTTAGAGCTGTTTTGGATGCGTTTTATAGAAGACGACAAAAGTCAGTGGCAATTAACCGACTACATATCTTCTAAATCCTGGAGCCAATTGTTCAATTCTACCTACAGCGATTTACTGTCTTCTTCTTCTTTTACGTTTTAGATCCCCTGCAGAATCAATCGACTTGGTCGCGGAGACGCCGTCCGCGTGGTGTTCCGTGGGTGGGTCTGGGCCGACACCTTATTCCGTCATAAATTTTCCGATGTCGCAATAGTCATCTCTGCAGTCGCCCAAATCCCAACCCATGCATTTGGCATACCAGTGACCGGCAATTTCTCCACTATTTCCCTTACTGTCTCCCAAAACTTTGTTTTCGAGGGCATCAAGTTGATAATCACGCAGACAATTCCCATTCTTCCTGTAATTATTGGCGTCGTCTTGGGCATCCTCCTTTTAATCATTATCATCGTAATCATGTGGCGATGCGGCTTCTTCAAACGAACTCGTCTAACAGAAGAGGCCTTGGCTGCAGCCGCTTGCCAGGAAAATGGAAACAAACTGGCCTGATCTCAAGGGCGACTGGTCGACTGATCCAATGCCTTCATCCCTGTTTGCAATTATTTTTTGGCTTCATTTATGCCACCAGCCCACACACATCCACGCTGTACAGCACCAAGGCTTGTCCTTGCCATGACCCAACACCACCCTGCTTCCCTTCTTCACCGATTTAATGAAAAGACCTTAACGACGCGCGAAATACGGACAGAACATTTACTGTAAATGTATTGCGATGTACCTGTTTTATGTAAATACTTCGAGGCCAATCTAAGGGTTATATGAAGTACTTTTGAAAGATGACAGAACAGCATGAAAATTGACATGGAGATGTGACTAATGGGAGCGTGAACTTCACATCCGAAAGGTTGTTTCGTTAACGTTTTAAAGCACTTCTATTTTTTGCACTTCAACCGTCGCATCTTACAGTTCTTTAACATTACGCTAATGTCTTTACTTAGAAGAGCAAATCCTCACCTTAAATAATTCGGAATAGCAGTGGCCATTTACACATCCATGCACTCAAGTACAACATCGTTGGTTAGATTTAACCTAAAATAGTACCAACAATTCGGTCATCTTAGTGACAATAGCTTACGCAAAATCTTTGGATAAAATGATTGTGAGTCGAAATTCGGCATTGCGACTGAGGGTGGCAATTCGGCTGGGCATAAATGACAGCACTGTCAATGTTCCTGGAAGCTACCAAAGTTTGTCGCTATCACTAGTAGTATTGTAGAAGCGGCAATAAAACGTTTACTTATTCACCTAAGTGATCATTTTGACCAAGTTCTACAATACAGTTTTATTAATCGGAGGGTGGGATGGCATTGTGCTTGATTATTCATGAGGACTTAATCTGTACCAGAGGCATCATTGAATCAGTAATTTGAAGAGACGCGAACACAAAAACCTCTGAGCTTGTAAGATTAAGTTGGACTAAAAGGATAAAAACGTTTGGGTAAGAATGACATTTGGGATTCAGTGTCGATTCTACAGCAGTGAAGACTTGTTGACAAGTAGAGTGGCTTAACAAACCAAATGTCAAGGACTGATTGACAGGAACGTAACAATTCTTCGGCAGCCGACATAGTGATGAATAATCCACTAATAGCAATTTGGTAAAACCTGTATTAGTGACACTTTTGAAATATGTTGGTAAAATGCGTAATTGTGAAGCACTGGAAGTTCGTTAAATATGTTTTGAACCGTGTTTATTCAAGCTCTTTAAACTGTTCGTCCAGGCTCTGACGCAATGCCCCCTTTTCACGGCAAACCGTCAGCCCTGGGGGCACCTCAAACCGGATTGGCGTGGATATTTATCCTGGATTATTACTACGTGTGATAATATACACTTAAGCCGGGATGTTAGCACATCGATGACTAACGCTGTTTCACACATCTAAGCTATAAGTATACACACGCGGCTACAACAACTTGGTTGAGCTTTGTAGTAGACTGTTTTGTCTCATCCTCTCTGGTCTTCGTAATCTTCGCGGGTATCCAGTTAGCGTAATCGGGCTAGATTCAACACACCGCGGCCCTGGTGTGGCTCGAGACCGCATCATGGGGCACACAACAAATAGCATAAACGAAAAATCAGTGAAACGTGAAGACATGGCGACAAAATTTTTTTATAGTCCCACTCTTTGATTACGGTTCAGGACAACGTGTACACTGATTTCGGTAAGCAAGATTAAATTTAACGTGGAGATGTAGCCATTAACGAATAACTTACGTTTGTTTTAATCAATAAGAAATTTGAAACTAGCACTTTCAACTAATTATTTTCAACTACAGTGATTAATATCTTCTCTATTATAGAATATATTCAAGATGAATCTCTGTATACACATTTAAGGTCGGTAAGCTTAGATGTGAGGAAGATCCATACATTGTAGTTTTAACTACAATTCGAGCTGAAATTATTTGTCTCGCTTTAACTTGCATAAACATATTGCTAGAGTCAATACTGCACGAAAGCAGAACAATCACATAGACTTGGAATTCACAGGTCAAAATGCAAAATTTACTGGTCATTTTTGTAAGGCATATTTAGCTACCTTTTTACTTTGTTGACAACGAGGTTTTCGCGTTGAGGTCCACGGATAGAACTCCATCATCTTAGATTGTATTGCCAGAGTTAAGCTATTCTGAAACCCGGGAGGTTTATGAAGACCAGAGATGACGTAGACATAAATGTTTACTAGATGGCCCAAACCTGTTGTGACTTGTGGTGTGCGTGGTCCTCAAATTTTAGCGGCGGGTTCTGTGGGTGTACAGGGGTACAAGATTGAACTCTATGAAACGGAGATTGGTGTGTCTGTGTGTTATGCGACAGAGTGGAAAGGCGTGAACCATGAAGATTCACTGTACAATTATGAAATAAATTAGATTCCACGACAAATCACCTCCACAAGATTTCTGAACAAAAGAGATGATAATTTTGACTTAAGAAAGGGGTCATTTCTCCATCAACAGAGGTCGAGTAGTCACGATGACAATACCACACCATTTGGCTGTTTTCTCACCGAACGCTAAGTCACATGTTGGAACAGAGCGATTTGTGCACGTCGAAGATAGGTTGGCGAAAAGCAGACACGGCAAAACACTTGGTGCAACTGTTTTGGTGTTTTGACCGCTCAGGCTAATTTGAGGGCTGGTTACGCTCAACTAATATGCACCATTAACAAGATCTGGAAGTTCATTTTGAAATAAACAGATTTAAAAAAAGTGTAATAGGTCTCGATGTCTTATATCCAAATGGGACAGCCGGGACAACCCCAAGCACCCAGAGACGAATTAGAGTCCTGAAATCATCTGAAGCATGATCGTTTACTGGACGTCTGAATCTGGGTGCCAACACCCGTGACAGTTCATGCGCATCGTAAGATCCTGAGAGTGAACAGCTGGGGCCTATGATCAGTATGAATCTGGGGCGTATAGTTACACAGGTGCGCGGTGAGACGGTGTACAGCGGTAATCAGGGGGGTGAATAACAGGTACGGGGTCAAGCGTCTCAGCAGGGGATCAGGGGGGAATGGTGAACACTCATGTGTGAACCGTGGTGACGATAGTGAATTGACAAAATTCACAGCAGTTCACTTTCTTTTCTTGACTATGGATTCAATTCGAAGTAGTCAGTGTTTATATAAACATTATGTTAAACCGTTTGAAGGCCTGGAATGTGCTTCCAGCGGGTGCGTATGAGTAGAATTTTGTATAAAATGATTTACTGTAAACTGATTGGTTTCTTCCATTTACCTGTACCTTTTACTTGTCTCTGGTCTCCAGTGCCCCATGATCACGCTCAAAAACACACAGACCTCTCGAACCTAGTGGTGAAGTAACGGCCACGCCGATTAACAGGGCGGTAAGGTAGTGCACAACACGTTTGGTGACTCCGACACAATTAGCTTTCACAACATGAACTGCATGCCACTATTCCAGTTGCCTTGTCAATATGTGTGAGGTGCGTATGACGGTATAGTCAAGTTTCACATCAATGCATATCCACGGCGTTTGAAATACTTGAGCAAACATTTAGAGATAGTTACCAAACTAGTAATAAGGTCTTAGCACACTAGTTAACGCGCATTCGAAATGCAGGTTGCTTGTGCAAGGTATTAAGTAGATTCGATAGAAAACGAATAAATTTTTCTGGAGACATTAGTTTTGTAAGGCAGCATCAAGAAAATTCAAGAGAGTTTTATTTATAAATGTTTGATGAAGTTAAAATATTCATGAAGTGGATGGTTCAGTATCTTCGGGTGTCGCGAGGCGACGGTTGCTGGTGTCCAGAGGGGGAGCTTGCAGAAGAATTGGAGACCTGGGTGGGACCGATTCGCGAGCTGCTTCGACTTTGGCCCATTTCACTGTGCTGCATTGGAGAGTCCTTTCCCTCAGGCAGCGGCTCTGAGTCACTAAAGGCTGACCAAAACAAAAAACGCTCCACTAATTTGGAAAAAAAGCGTGAAATAGCTTTCGGCCGCGTGTTACTGTGCGTCTACTATGCTACCTCTCAAAAGTGATGCTAAGCAGTCGTAAGGCAGTTACCATTGTCAAATTTTTATGGCACCTGGAGGTCCATTAACACTGAGCTTATTAAATTTTTAGTTTTTACACGAATATCGCCCTAAAGGTTCTGATGGCGTATAAACTTTTGTTAAATCGAATTCACACTACTGGTGGACTACCTTCTAGATTTATCTCGACCAATAAAATCCGGGTGACTTCGATGATAAGGCGTCCCAGCGTACCCTTCTTCACAGTATTCTAGAGATGAGCACATTATATGTTAAAACAATAAAGTTGGGCAAAATATACCAATAACCAGAGAAATAAGGAATAAGTATGCATAGAGGACTTTCGAAAAATCAAACCAACTTCTTGCCATATGTAGAATTTAGTCACACTGGGAAGTTAGTGTAAGTGAACATCGTGGGAACGACATCCCCACCAACTTAGTTCCTGTTTCTGCCTTTCAAATCTCTTATTAAAGGAACGCGCGAGTTGACCTGGATTTGTACAGTCAAAGGTCTCATAGCTTTTTTATAACAGATCAGCAAAATAAAGCTCCTTGGATAGAGATGCTACCGTTTTTTGGCCTTTAGCTTAACCGATTTTTAGCTTCGATGCACACGTTTAGCAGCACTGGCTAAAGTAAACTAACAATCTATTTATAGATACACTTGGACCGCCTAACTGGAAGTCTGGCGCTGTGCATTTTGTCAGGCTAACTTGCCCACAAAAAGGAAAATACACACGCATCTGAGGAATCAGCGACACCAATTTTGGCGATTTTGTTTGTGGAACTAAAATGTCCTGGAATTAAGCAAGATAGACGGTATCATGATGATGAATTTCTAGATGACAAGTTAATGATTCTGCGTTTTTAATCTAATCATTGGGGATTTTGCTTCGTAGGCCTATTTAAGCTTAACTTTTTGTCTCTCCGATTTATGGGAACCGCGTTGTTGTTCACATCTGGCTAGATTAATCAACCCATATGCACAGTTTGCCAATCGCGTGTAAAAGTAATGTCACACCAACAACAGCTAACTCGATCGTATGATTTTGATACTGGGGTTAGAGAAGTCTACTGAAATAGTTTTGATAATAGATGGCAGATATTTCATTTTATAGAAGCAAATCAGTTAAGGATTACACTAGATCAAGTAGAATTTCGATTGCCAAAAAAGTTTGTTAAAAGCACTGCCGATTGCCGAGATACTTGCAGCACCTTATCATCAATTTCACTAATGACATAGAAGACCGTAATCTTTTTCGTTTGTATTTTCTCTGGATAATGCGGTATCTATTGGTTTTTAGCAAACCCGTGACATTTTAACAGGCCACAGACGGGCCACGCACGATCTGGGCATTTTACGACGACCTAACCTTTACCGCTGACGGGTGTGTTGATGGCGGGAGGGCTACATACGAGGCCTAACGACTACCTCACCATATTTCCCCCGAACGTGAGTAATCAGGCTTGTTGGCACATGGCCCAGCTGCCGGTAGCTAGTCTGCGGCCAAATTATTCAAGACCGCAAGGTTACTACACTTGACCTCGAATGTGGCAGACAAATATTTTCTGATGGTGTAAAACCCAGTAAGCGATGATGAGAGCCCGATTTCTGGTGTTGTGAGAAATTCTCATCGTAGACTTACAGCTTTTGGAATTTTCGGAAGGTTTTTTCAAGAGTTGAATCTGCTGAATTCAAGAGTTTGAAAGGTGAACAAAAAAGACTGGGCCATTCCCGTGAAATGTCCATAAAAATTAATATTCCATTGGCAAAATACGACGCAATGGCACATTACGGCTTCCTCGAAGCAATTGTTGGCTGATATTTTTCCGAAAATGGATTACAAGGAGGAAACTTGCATGAAAGACTGGAAACTTGTGAATAAATTAAAAAAAAAGCAGAACAAGAACAAAAAGCTAATGAAATAACTGGAGTTGTCGGTGGATATTCTCCAATTCTAAAATGGTGTATTTGTTAAACTAGCGGAAATGTAGAATTTGTTCACTGTATAAAACAACGGCTTCTGAACGCTATTTGAACCATGTCTCTGTGAGTAAAGGGGGTAGCGGCAGCGATGGCAGTTGTGCTTCCGATGTCGATCATAGTCGACAGGTTACTGGATAGTGGCTAACTTCCAAGTCCTTTTCCTGGAGGCTGTCATCACTCCGAGATGAAAAACTGTGAAAGAATTTAGCCTATTTGCATGGAGTATACCAGATCTGTTAAACGTCCGAGTACAAATAATTAAATGCTCTTAGGCCACTAACGCAAACAATTGGGAAGAACGCAGGGTTACTATTCCATGTCAGAACATGGGCATAGGTCCCATGTCGACCACAATAGACTCGGCGCAATAGCATATGATATCGTTATTTCGGTGATGTCATCCTTAGCTATTTATCAAGATTCTCCACATTCTTGAAACACTACCTGAACAGGTTTCGAATGCCGCTAAATAATTACTGATTTACTGACCTCCCATGTGCGTAACCATTGAGAAAATACGGTTTGCAGTACACTATAATGATAGTTTGATCCTGATTTATTTTTGAAGGTTAAGAAATGAAATGGGAAAAAGGCTCTTATCGATGGAAAAGGGTTCCTTAGATATTCAGGCTCGAAACCGAAGACGGAAGTAAGATTTTAGATTTTTTTGTTTGAATAATAACTAGCAACTTCCTTCATTTGCTGCAAAATCATTTTCTGTGGAATAGCATTAAATTCATTCACCAGACTAATTTTATAGATCACCCAATTAATGGCATCCATGGATTAGGTACCAGGACAGTTTTATCTTGGAAATACAAATTAACAAAGTGATTCAGGTCTACGCAAAGATTAGATACCAAAATACTTGTCTTTAAGTTTGCTTTATGACAAACTGGTTGAATTGATAAGTAGTTACATGAGACTGGATCCGGCAACCTGATTTTGTATTTATGAACGAACTACAGGTGATCGAGGTGAGGTCAAAGTAAGTACGTGGTGTATTTAAATACCAATAATACAAAAAACCATTGCACAAAAATAGGTAAAAGAACTTTAATGGAATGACTAATTAATCACTAAATGATAAAAATAATGACATTTAAAAATCTGTTTCCCTCGAAAAGCGACGATGGAAGAAACCCGAATAAGGTCATGTATGTGGGACACAATGCCATCCAAAATATCCTGATTCATAGTTCGTCAATGCTGTTCTACTGTTTTGTGAATAGAGAACCGCTTGAATCATACTGAATCCAACTACTAAATACAATACAATGGAAAAAAATAGGTTCACCAGTAAAAGGTTACGTGGCAAAGCCAATCCAGGGGTAGACAAGAAAATAACTGAAATAATCATTGAAAAGCAACGTCAGCATCAATTGTGTGATGTCTGAACTTAACAAAACCGATATTTTTACTTGGAACAGTGCAGGTTTTGGTGATTTGGGAGTAAAAATAGCATAATTAAAGCCACACAGGTGGAACTCCATCTAACAACTGCATAAATGCGAACTTTTCGTGATAGGGAAAATGCAGTGAATCCAATTACACGTGGTCCTTGACTAGAGCACGAATTGGCTCGAGTCAAGGTAAGACGGGACAGTTGCGCAATAAAACGTCGTGTGTACAACAGCTTCGGCTCAGCATGAATGGATGCTTAGTACCACCGACACATCGCAATCTAGGTGCATCAAACGATGTCAACGTTGCTCTTAACCATTTAATTTATCTGAGAATACGTGAATGTGTCAGATAAATAAGAATTAAGTTAATTAGACGTAGGAAGTTGCGAAAACTTGAGAAGAATTAAAATCATGGCACTTCTATCTAAGCAACGTAGACTCATTAGCGTAGTCTTTCTCGATCATTTGTTCAGCGTTCATACTAAAATTGAAACTCATCGGGATACTATTTACATGAAAGACAGTTGTGCCATGCCTAAGGCTAGGG